TTACGGAGCATCCTATCCCAGCTGTCAACGAATGGAAAAAATAGGTTCTGCCGATAAAAGCAGTTGGTGTTTTCAACTCGGGGAAGGAAAATTCGGGCAGTTTTGGCTACGGCGTTCGTGAGTTATTTTCCTGACGCGTTACAAGTGATTTTCTTTCTTTGTGTTGTGAAAGACACAAATTTGCTTTGAGAACGCTTACTCTTCAGAATTCAAGCACTGTAGTAGATTGGTAGCAAGATTTCATCATTTTGCAGTTAAAATGGCTAGATGTAACCATAAGTTCTATGCTAATGGTTTCTTCTATTGCACTTCTTGCTTGTGGAACTGTCTTACAGCGTCTTGCTTTCCAGTCAACTTTGATATTCAAATGTTTAAATCATTATCTTTTGTCTTTTATTGTTCCTGCTGTTTAACAATATTTGCTTTTTCTTATATTCTTTCACACTCAGTAATCCCCTGTATCTTAGTGGCTTTGTTACCTTGATTGGTGTGAAATGATTTAAAAAAAAATCTAGGAGTAATCTAACTTTGTACTTTCTATTGTGAGCCAGAAAGTGACTGACAATATAGTAATAGTAATGGTAGGAATTACTTATGCTTGATGGAACCAATTTCAACTCAAAGGGACAGCATTTAAATGGTCAAATTGGAATTTTTGTTGTTTTTTTTTAAGCACACTTCAATATACAGTCCCCTATGGAGAAAGATTCCTTATTTAATATTGGCTGTGTCTCTTTTATTAGAGCAGCCTCCAGAATTTGGTGTCTTTCTTTGTCCTGCATCCTTTCTAAAATGTTGGTGTTATCTACTAAAATTTTATCTTATGTTAATAGCATTTTGCTTATTTGTCATATCTTGATCAATATAAAATTTCAGTTTGACCATTTAAATGACGTCAATTTGAGTGTTTTGACATTGGTTTCATCAAATGTGAGAACACTGGAATTAAACAAAAATAGTTGTGTAAATCTGCACAGAACAATACTGGAAAATGAATGTACCAACATTTGAAAGTACTCAGAGAGTGGTACCCCAAGATCAGGAAGGCTAGTTTCAGCAATAAGTTTAGAAAAGTTCAATGAAATAAGAAAATCATTGTTGAGCACTCCTCAAAAAACAAGCAGACGTCTTTCTTCAGAGTTGGGTAACAGTGATAGACATGTCTGAGGACTCTTAAATATGCTTAAAATGAGACCTTGCATCCTTAGATTACTACAATGCTTCAATGATGAAGCTGAAGATAAGATTAGACTTTTGTGAAATTTTCCTGAATAAAGTCTATGGACTTTTCTTGATAAGATATGATGGTCAGATGAAACAACCTTTAAGTTGAATGGGGTATATCATTTGTCATAAGTGCGTGTACTGGAGCAATGTTAACCAATATGTTATCTTGGGAAAGGATATTAACCTACCAGAAATGAAGGTTTCGACAACCATTTCATCCATGGGAATAATATGGCCGATATTTTTGATGGTACTATTATCAAGATAATTATTTACATAGGCTGCAAATTGAATTCTGTGTGAGAGAAATCAGAATGGTATTTACTTTCAGCAGGATGATGCACCATTTCACTATAGCTTTCACATTTGAAAATAGCAAAATCCTAATTTTGAGCTGAGGTTGATAGAATGAAGCAATTGAGTGGCCATCATAATTACCAAACCTAACACTACCAGCTTTTTTTTTGTGGGATGTACTGAAAGATCTTGTTTACAGGCTCAAACTAAAAACAATTCCTGAATTAGAACAAGCAATTTCTGATAAATTTCCTGTTTGTTGAAGTGTTGCTGATAGGGTTCAGCATTGTATTGAACATAGAGAGGAGCATTTTGAAGACGTTAAATACTTTGTTCATCTTAACAATTCATCTTGTTTTGATGTGATAATACTTATAAATTTTCATAAAATATTGTAATTTATTTTTCTTCAATAAAAGTTAAGAAATAAGAAAAGAGCGTTACTTTTGCTGCACCCTGTTTAGGGTTGTTATAGACAAGCATATGGTTGCAAGAAAAAAAGACAACAGCAGAAACAGATATACATGATTTATTTCAATAGGAACGTGTGGTTTTGGGACAGCCACCTTGTGGTATAGTTCATAAGCTGGCTGTCGACCTGGGTTGATCTCTCATAGTAGTTCTTGCTGGTTGGCGTGGTGCTACTGCTGCTGACTGCTGCTGACTGCTGCTGACTGCTGCTGACTGACCGTGACAGGTCTCTTCTCTGGCCTCCTGTTGACTGCTCTTGTACTTCTCCGTGTGACCCCTTTTATGGTGTTTTTTATGGCTTAACAGGCTCGCAAAACGATGCGAGTATAATTAGGAGGGAAGCATTTTTATTGGTCAAAAAATAGGAACACTTTAAAATATTATTTTATTTTTCAATCGAAACTCGTGTGCCGAGCTTATGCGTAGACGACGATAATGGTCATTTTGTGACGGGGCCTTGTCCCGTTCACATCCGGCTCTTGCTCTTAAGTATGTTAGTTTATTTGCCTGCAAATCAGCCGAGATATGTCTTATTTTATTTTATAACAGGGTTATGAGTTTTTCACTTTTTTTGTGAAATAATTGATTTCCAATATCATAATTTGATGAACTTTTCTTCAAAAAATAATGCAGAAGGGTTTAATTCAGTGTATTTTTTAAAAAAATGTTACCCCAAGCATGAAATTTCTAAAATCATTTATAAATATAGTACTATGACTTTCTGGAGCCTCCTAGAACTTTCTGAACCTTCTAGAACTTCTTGGAGCCTTTTAGAACTTCATGGAACCTTCAAGAACTTCTTTTTGTTTATTTGTAAGTTTGTATGTTATCTTATAGCAGTAAACTGTTAAATGCATTAAAATGCATAAATTCTATCCAATTATATCATTAGTAAATTGAAGAATAAAGCTTCTGAAATATTTTTGTTTTACTCTTATTGTGTATATAGTAAAATAAAAATTTTGGTTTGCGGGTGACCTTTTTCAAGAAATAAATTAATGCTTTTTTCATTACTTTTGAACAAAAGTTCATCAATTTATGATACCAGTCAATGGATGATAAATTATTGAAACCAATAATTTATCATCCATTGACTAATTTGAAAAATTTGATTTTAATTTACAAGGTGAAAATGATCATTAACCTAATATAATTTTAATTCCTAGTGTATAATATATATATATATATATATAATCATTTAATATATTCTTTTAATCATTTCACTCACAATCAAGGCAATAAAGCCACTAAGAAACAAGGTGTTACTGTATATTGAAGAATATGAGAAAAAGAAAAACATTATTAAGGAGAGAGAACAATAAAAGAACAGAAATTAAGAAAAACATAGATAATGACTGACATTGCGTTCAAATTTTTGAAGATCAAAGTTGACTGGAAAGCAAGAAGCAGGAAGAGAGTTTAACAAGCGAGAATTGTAACAGAAGAAAGTGTGAGCATAAAACTTACATTTATATCTAGCCATTTCAACTTTAAAATGATAGATCTCACTGCCAATCTAGTACTGCACTTAAATACATAAAGTCCAGGTACCATAGCGGAAAGTTCATCAGAACAATTACCAGTATTTATAGAAAAGGTACAAGGAACCTACATTATAACAGCGAAAAAATGGCCGAAGCCTAGATACCAGGTCAGTACCAATAGCATTGCAGATTCTTCTTTAGATTCTATCAAGAATCTCTCAAAATATAGCAGGAGAGCCAGACCATATGTGGCAGCAATATGCAAAGCAAGGACGAATGGCAGACTCATAAATATGTTAGATAGATTCTGGAAATATATATATATATATATATTACCATTGTATAGTTCAGAATCATATATCCCATATAGGTTCCATATCAATCAGTTGGATAACTTCCACAAAAGTTGTCTTCATGTGATCTGTGGCTATACTTTTGATGTTAGTGTGTTCAATGCTGGTCTTCTCACAAAATGCAACATTGGTAGAATTGAAACTTTACTGATACAGTTACAACTTTGCTAGGCTGCTCATTTTGCAAGGTTGAGTGATGACAGAATACCTCAGGTCCTCATGTATAGTCAGCTTGACAGTGGACAATGGACTGTTGGATGGCTGTGGCTGAGGTATATAGACAAGCTAAAGAGTAACCTGTCAGCTGTCAATGTATTTCATACTAACTTTGAGTGAGTTGCCCTGGATAGAAATAACTGGAGATATTTGTGCCAAAGTGGTATCAGAAAACTTGAAATCATTCCTATTGACCGGCTTAGAGAAGAAAAACAGCAAATAACATCAGTAAATATTCATGTTGCTTTGTCCTGAGATCTTCCCTATAGCGCAATATGTGCACTTCTATGCAGATCACTAGTGGAACTGAAGTGTCAGACATCAAAATTTTGAATTTTCACTTTTCCAGTCATCAATCAATGCCATTTTCTGACACTTGTCACCAAGTGATAAGAAACTTATTTAAACATTTAAAAAAAATAAAAATGTGTACATCTCGTTAAAACAGAAACTGTTAATTTGATGAATTGTGAATAAGATTAAACCAAAATGACTTGTTTTTTTTTTTTAAAAAAACAGTGAAAAACATTTTTTTGAGGTGGGATCTTATTTTCTTATGGAACTATTGAAGTAGGAAGTAGCTTGTAGAATTGTTGACAAGCAAACAGTAAGTGACAAAATATTACAGTAGGCCATATATGACAAAATATTCGACTGTTCACCACTGATATATATATATATATATATATATATATATATATATATTGGTATTTATTGACATAGGAGTGCAAATACAATTCATTAAACATTCATTGAGCAATTACTTTTCTAGCTTCTTCAATAGAAGCATCCTGGAAAATAATGTACTTTGCAATGCGAATCTTGCAAATTTTCTTCTGTACTTTGTCTTTATTCCAATGTATGTTTTTTTTTTTACAAATATCTGAGCTGTGATCATTTTGTTTTCTTTTCCTTTTACCCTGATTTTCCAAATGTTAATCTCTGTTTTTAGATGCATCCAGATTTTTGCCTCACATGGCTCGGCAATAAACCTTTGGACAAGGATGAGGAAGCAGACAGACCCGTGGAAGGAATCAAAGAGGGCCACAATGTCTTCGTAATTGCAGCTGAGCGACTGCCAAAAAAAGAAGCTGCCCTCCAGAGGTAATATATTATCATTTCGACTGAGTGCTCATCTACCTTTGATTCCCTTTCTATTATGTAGGAAAAAACCTTCTATGAGAAGGGTTTATTGAACGACGGGACATGCATATAACTCTGTCCATGGTTTCCCTTAACATCTTCAAATCCTTACAAAACATGTGTACTCAATGGTATCCCAGCAATTTTACTTAAGAAATTTGAAGAATCAGCAATGTTATTGGTCCTGACCTGGCATATTGGCTTCAGTCATGTTACCACAACAAGCTTCCTTTGACTCTTCTATAAAATATTTTCATGCTAATTGTTCTGATGACCTTTCCTCTTTAGTAACTCAACTTCTCTAATTTAAGTGCAGTACTAGATTGCCCGCTAGGTCTCATTACTTTACAGTTCAGATTGCTTGTTGTAACTATAGGTTCTATGCCAGTAGTTTCTCCTCTCGCACTTCTCACTTGTAGATATCACTATCAACACTCTGTTTTCTTGTCAACTACAAACTTCAAAAATTTTTAAATTGAAATTTATAAAATCTTTGAAAAAAGTTATAAAATCTTTCTTTTAAAACAGTTTTACAGGTTTACTGTTCTAATTCTTTCTAATGTTGCATATCTCCCTCATTTTGGGAAGCTCCTGAGTGATGGCATCGATTCGATAATAAATTTGCATTCTTCTCTCTCGGCCAGTGATTGCTAGTTGTTTTGATACCAGAAATAAAAGAACTTTAACACAGAGAATTTTAACTTAACTATCTTATTAATGTTGATGTATAGATCTTCTAACTATCCAGTGGGGTTGCTCTCCCTCACTGGGGAGCCATTTCAGACACAAAAGAGATCACATCTACATTCCTTGACATGTAAGAACCAACTCACTGAAAAACCTTTCTCTATCTATTTATTCTCACACTCATTCAGCCAATCAAAATTAACTTCCTTGTTTTGTCTTCCATCTGACCTCAAAGGTCAGCCTCAAGAAGTCTGAGCAGAGAGACTATTCCTCCTAAAAAATGATAGTCTGCTAAACTATTATTTAACACTAATATTGATGGGAGTTTACTTCCTAACTTTTTGTTTGAAGTAGTGTGGAAAGTGATCATCATTGAGTTACATGTGATATCCATTTTAATTATTGCTGCTGTTAAAATATTCAAGGGATGTGGGTTGTGGTGTAATGGATATTAACCCAGAATGAGAAATTGAAGTACTGAGTTTGAATTCTAGTCAGGTTTATTACATTCATTTACACACCGATACTGTTGGGAAAGGTATGTATCCATCTCTTCTCCCCCCCCAGCTATGGGTTGAATAGCAGGACAGTTCTTTAGCCTTGGTTGGCAACCAGTCTACTGTAGAGAGAAATGGCAAACTACTACAGGGAAATCATCTGCCGAGTCAGTCATGAATCAAAAGAGACATCATCGCCCAAGCATATATCCTGGATGGCACTAAACTATTTAGAAAAGTTCCTTGCTTGTGATTCTGTAGCACCAGTCTATAGGGTCTGATGAAGGATAGTTTTCTTTAAGACTGAAAAGATTCAATTCTTTGATGCCATTTTTTAGCCATTGATTTGAGGAAATGGTTGTACATTGCTGATAGTTTAGACATTTCTGATTGTGTTGGATTCCATGTCTGACATCCATATGAGAGTCTAGATCTGACAAGGTTATTTAAGGATATGACTTGAGTTCTTGGGTTAATGTTTTGGTTTTGTAGCATATTGCAGTGTTGGGAAAACTACTCATTCTTCTCTTATGTGCCATCTTTCTTCAGATCATAGGTGATCATGGCTATCCACAACCTCCTAGCCCTTGTGCCCCTTAATAAATTTTCTCCTCTTGCAAACTCTCCTGCTGCCTGTTCTGCTATCCATTCTCACAAGCTTGTCAGGTAAGTAGCTTGCTACCTTCTATCTCTCTTGCTATTAAGATGCCCCATGAGTGTTTAGTTTTCCAAACCCTCCTTCCATATTATGTCCAAGGAATTTGAGCTCTCTTTTAATGATTCTGAGTCTACCCATAGTGCAGTTGATTTTATGTTCAATTTACTTATGTCCAGTACTAAATTTGTTAAAATGGATCTATCGGACAGGACCCACACTCAGGAGTCAACATTCAGCATTATCTGCCAAACTAGGACCTTTAAGACACATAGAAAAAAAATATGGTCAAGAAACAGTTGTAGACATGACACTGAGAATTAATTAAAAAGATGGAGAAGTAACTGAACAACAGAAGCAACCAGTAGAGTTCAGAACCAAGTTTGATTGAGGATTGATGTTGGTGGGCTAGAATCCATCTTGCACTATTATAAATCTACCATTCATCCATGTGCTGAATACTGTTGCCACATCTAGTCTGGTGCTCCACATCTCCACATTTTGAGATGCTTGACAAAATCCAGAGAAGGGTCTGCAATACAATTGATCCTGACCAAGCATTTCGTTTCCAGTCACTTTTTCACTGACATGACGTAGCTTCTGTTAACTTGTGACCTATCAGCAATTGAACCTGAGAACTTCTCATAATAAATTGTAGGTTGGATTAATTTAAATAAGACTGTTTCAGCCAATCAGGGACAGGCTTGGGAGTGTAGCAGGCACTACTTAAGATACAAAAAAAATTTGTTCAGTTGTAAAAAGACATTTGCTTGGGGAGGTGCTAATAGTTGGATTAACTATGTGTCAGTGCTTATTTCACAGCTTCCTTCTGTCTTTTCTACAAATATTTTCTTGTCACCTGCTCAGATGAGCTTTTTTTCTTGTTGCCCAGACAACTTGAATTTAAGTGTACTACTAGGTTTCACCTTTTTACTGTTGAACTAGTTAGATACAACCATTATTTCTACTTTAAAACAGTTTGGAACTCCCTTTTGATTTCTTGCTTCCCTGATAACTTTCTTTTTTATGTGCCATGTCCTTTCAGCATGTAGGCAATCATGGCTTTCCCCTTCCCTTACAGCTCCCAACATGCTCCTTCCCTCTGCCACCTCCTCCAGACCACGTTCTGTCATCCACTTGCTTAAGGCCGCTAGGTATGTCATGCATTGTTTTTCCTTGTCTCTCTTTCCCTCTATTCGACCTGTGAGTATCAGATTCTCCAGGCCCTCTGTCCTCATTATGTGTCCCAGGAACATCAGCTGCTTCTTCCTGATGTTAAGTATAAGCCTCCTCCTTATTTGCATCCTCTCTCAGACCTCATCATTGCTCACACGCTCGGTTCATGATATCCTTAGCATCCTACTGTAGAACCACTTCTCCGTCGCCTCGAGTGTCTTCTTCATCTTTGAGGAAATCATCCAACATTTACTGCCGTAAAGAAGGACAGATGTCAAGTAACAGCTCAGTATTCTTTTCTTTGGTAACAAAGAAATCCTTCTATCTTGCAATACTCTGCCCAGCTTTTGAAATGCATCCTTGGCCATCCCCACAACATCTACAGATCTCAGTGTTGCATTCACTGTCCTCTGTCAGAACGCTTCCCAGATATTTAAATTTCCACATCTACTTGATTCTAGTGTTCTTGACCTGCAAATCATATTTTGGGCTCATCCTTTTACTGATGACCATACAATCTTCAAAAATTGAAAAGCAACATCAGTCGCCATCTTCTGTCTTCTTAAACCCTGTTCCTTTATTGTCATTTCCTCAATCATCCCCATCAATCTTCTCATTCTCTTTCCCTTTCACTCCCTGTAATCCTTTGTGTCCTAGTGGCATTGCTGCCTTGCTTGGGGTGAAATGATTTATAAAAAATGCTTCTCTTCAAGCAAAATAGCCTAATAATAATAATAACAATAATACATAGCCTAATATTAATAATAATATTAATAATAATATTAATAATAATATTAATAATAATATACTATTTCCCTGTCTTTGTCTTGACTGAAACCATTTTTTCTCAGTTTGCTGTCCAATACTCTATCCCTTGAAGTATGTCACAATAATGATAATATGTATAAAGTTAACAGTGTGCTTTAATTGTGTCTATTTTATCTTTTATTTTTCAGATGGGCAGTGAAGCAAGAAAGATTTGACAATTTAGGTCAGTGGAAGTATACACAAGTGTCGAACCCAGAGTGGAATAAATTGGCTTATTCGTGGCCTGTGTGCTCTGCTACTGGCAAGCTTAATGAGGTGACATATTTAGATTTTTCTTGACCCACTTTTTGGAATGAATTCATTAGTGCTTTATTTATTTATTTATTTTTTCTCTTGAATATGCCAAAAAATGTTAATACTAAAAATGCTAATCTTCTTTTAGAAAAATGACCAAAAACAAAACATTTTTTATCTTTTTTTTTTATCAAATGGTCATATTTAATATCCTAAAATTTAATATATGTTGGGTTTTAGACTACCCAACAACAAAGTTTCTAATTTCTAACAAGGAAAGAAGGTTTGGAAAATTCAACACTCACAGGACATACTGAAAGCAAGAGGGGATGAGAGAAACATTGAGTAAGCTATCTAACAAGCTTGACAGAACAATGACTGGAAATGACAGTAAGGGGACAAACATTGCTTAGAGCTACAAGGAAAAGGAAGTTGTGGAGGGCCATTATCTCTACTGTCCTGAAGGGATGCAACATATAAAAGAAAGAAAAAACTGAATCTCACATTATTGCTCATATATATATATATATATATATATATATATATATATAAACATAAAACATTAGGCAGCATATAATTTACATACAAAGAAATAATCACACATAGAATCAATCAGAAGTATTAATGCGATTATATTATGTTTTCTAGCGATGGATGTCGCCAATAATCACATTAATACTTCTGATTGATTCTATGTGTGATTATTTCTTTGTATATATATATATATATATATATATATATATACATATCTTGAAAATGTTGCCAGTTTTTTCATGTAAACATTGACTTATCTGAAATCTGTTTATCATATTAGGTACCGAAATATTCTAAAACTATCCGGACTGTGATTATAATTTTTAATGCTCTTTGGTATTAACCCTACTGAGTCAGTCAGAAAGAAACAGTTGAAATTTCTGAAATACATAATAGAGAAAGAAGTCTTGGAGATTTTAATACTCACAGGACATATTGAAGGCAAGAGAGACAGCAATAAGTAGCCTCCCTAACAAACTTGTATATGGCAGAACTGGAAATGTGAGGGATAGGGTAAGGTGACAATATTGCTTAAGTAAAGGAAGTTGTGGAGAGCCATGATCAACCTAATTAGTGAAAATGGATGACAGAACAGGGACTGGGAGGGGACAGATATTGCTTAGAGCTGCAAATGATAAGAATTATCATGATTATCCATGTCCTGAAGGGACAAAGGGAAAAATCGAATAACTTTCCTAACAAGCTTGTAAAATGGATGACAGAAAAGTAATTGGGAGGGACAATCATTGCTTCTACCTAAAAAGGATAGGAAGTTGTGAAGAGCCATGAACATGCACATCCTGAAGGGGTAGAAGAACACATTGAGTAACCTTCCTAAGAAGCTTGTGTAAAAGGATGGCAGAAAAGGAATTGCAAGGGATAGTAAGTTGACAAATATTTCTCAGAGCTACAAATGATAGGAAGTAGTGAAGAGCCATGATCATCCATGTCCTGGAAGGGTGGAAGGAAACATCAAGTAACCTTCCTAACAAGCTTGTGTAAATGAACAGCAGGAAAGGAATTGGCAGGGATAGTAAGAAGACAATCATTGCTTAGAGCTAAAAAAAAAAGATAGGAAGTTGTGAAGAGCCATGATCTTTCATGTCCTGAAAGGACAGAGGGAAACATTGAGTAACCTTCCTAACAAGCTTGTATAAATGGATGAAAGACCAGAGGCTGAGAAGTAATTGGACAAGCATTGCTCAGAGCTATAAAAGATAAGAAGTTGTGGAGAGCCATGATCAACTTACTTAATGAACTTGTGTAAGTGGATGGCAGAACAGGGATGGGAAGGACAGTAAGGGGACAATGTCGACTTTTTTTTCCCTTATCATGTGTGTGTTTGAGTTTGTGTGTATGTGCATGTGTGTGCATGTGCACATATGTGTGTATGTGCATTTTTCTGTCAAATGTCATGGTTATTTCCCATTTTCACTATTTTTTGTCTTCTTATACTCTCTCCCTTTTCCTTCAGTATTAAAGATGTCAACAATGTCATTTCCGTTATCACAGACAGAACTTTAGACTGTTTACACCTAAAATTGACCAATATATCATTGTAAAACTCAGTTGTGCCTTGTTGGATTGCTGCTCCTAACTAAAATTACAGGTGGTATGATTTTTGAAGGGCTCATTCTCTTTTCCCTTTGGCTTAGGGAATGACAACTCTCTCTTTCTCTTTCTTTCTTTCTTTCTTGCAGAACATTCATACCTCCATCCATTCTCAGTTTATGACTGCTCAGAGTTTTACAGCTTGTCCACAAATTTCCAGATTTTGACTTTGTTCCATTTCCAGAGGCTGACTATTTCAGAAAATATTTGTTACTAGACTTGGCAAAGTTATTTAACAATTGTAGACCAAAAGCTGTTTTAAAGGAAAAGGAGAGAATGGAAAAATAAAGACAAAGAAAATAGGATATTTTATGGGGCCATTTTTTTTTGTTATGATTTAAGTACTTCAGTGACATCAACTGAAGATGGTTATGACTTCAAAGATAATGCTTGTTCTTTTCTTTAGACTTCTGTAAACATGTCTTGTTAATACATTTATTGATTTTTGTTTGTTTAAATTCCATGTCTTGTTTACTTTTGGGCCAGGATTCACATGAATCTGCTAGATATTGTTTCTGGGACAAATAATATTAGAATTCATAAAACAATAAGTCTTTCCATTGCAGAATGGTGAAAATTACCATTTTACAATTCATGCTATTATTTGAATGGATACGGCTCTTTAAACTGTATAAACTTTTTAAGCCTCTTATACAACTGGCAGGCATGAAAGACATATTTTGTTTCCCTTTGGTTTATACTTGTGAATGTTTACATGTCTTTTCATTTCCTTGTGTGTATATATATATATATATATATATATATATATATATAATTATTTATTTAAAAATTATAACATTAATATGTTATAAAATCACTGCAAAAATAGCCATTTTGTTTCAACACCTCTGGTTTTTATCAAGTGATGATGTTGAATACACCAATCATATACTTATATATATATATATATATATATATATATATATATATATATATATATATTATATGAAATGGATTAGATCCAACAAATATTTTAATGTATTTTCTGTTTATATGTCTTTTTTATGGATGCACTTACTTGAGTAAATGCTCTGTTTTGTAATTAAAAAGTATTAATTGCATTTATCAGCCTGAATCTTTGACAAATTTCATTCTGCTCTCCATGAGGAATTGAATCTAATACAGAACAAAGATTTAATTCTTCTTCAATATGTATCATGTCCTCTAAGGATGTTGGCCATTCCTTGTTACAGTTCTCCCAGTTTCCGAGTGTGGCATGATGGAAGAATGCCAAGCTTTAGTTGTTGTTCTCTTTGGGTGAGGTGGGAGTAAATTGGCTACCCCCACAACTTTTTACCAATTTTAGTCTTTTTTACTGGGTTTTATTTTAACAAAATGTAATAAAGAAAGAAAAACAAGAAAGAAAGAAACTATGAAAGCAAGGAAGAATATAACATTTATAAAACTTTGGTGAAATAATTCTTCTTTAAAGGTGTATGACGATGGTAATTTCCCTTTATCACTTGGGTGCGTTTTCATTTTAATCAAATCAAATAAAATATAAAAATAAAAATGTACAAAAAAATAGAAAAGAATTCAAATTAAAACAAAGCATTTGCTTCCCCTTAAAATCCTTATCTCTTTTTTCTAGCTTTCACTCTCTTTTTCTCTATATATTTTCTCTCTCAAATAAAAAGAAGAAGAAAACAAAAAGATTAAAACATTTGTCCATTGACTAAAATAATTTGGGGCAAAAAACTTGCTGCTAACCATTTTGGCGGCCTTTGATAACTTAAGGCTAGATTCTAAATTTTTTCGAAGCCACAAAAAAACATTTGTCTTTGCAAAGATCCTGTAATTGTACTCACAAGCAATCACCTGGTTTCCACAATGAGAGTTCTTTTCCTGTATGTCAGTTGTAATATTTCTGCTGCTCTATTTGATGTTCAGCATGTCTTGATTGATTTTCTGTATGTGGATAAAGTAAACGATGTGCTGCGGCTTATATAAAAAAAAACGATGGCTCATGGGAAGGCTATGAAGGAGATTTTCCATCTATTGATGTATTTCTTACTTAGAAATAAATTCGGTGTTTACTGTCAATCTTTTCATTTGTCCTATCTCAGTTGTGCATTTAAACATGTCTGATACCAAAAATTTAAACCTAAAGTTAAGCATCCCTGTATTTTCAGCATTTTCTCTATGCAGAAATATAACCAAAGTTTGTTGTATTTCATTCCCGCCTACACATATATATGATTCCATTGTATTAGACATTATTTAGTTTCAAAAAGTCCTTTTGGAGGTCAAAGTGCTTAACAGAGGGTTTTTTTTCTAATTTAATTTCTCTTTTTCTAATTATAAGTATCACTTTCCTTATAGTTCTGTTTTCCTTAAACTTCCACATTGCTCACATGCTATATCCATGTTATTCTTCGCATTCATCAGGAGAACAACAATTCTGTCACTTCAAGTCTTTTCTTCATCTGTGTGAAGATTGTCCGGCATCTTCTACCATATAGAAGATTAAATATTACACAGTCAAACAACTCTCTTTTCTTTATTTCTAATGACATTTTCCTGTCTTTAAATATTTTGTTTACTTTCTGAAAGGCATGAGATTGTCCAGCATACACTGCCATCTAGGAAATTAGATATTACATAGCAGTTTGGCACTCTTTTCTTTGTTTCTAATGACATTATCCTATTTCTTAATACTTTGCTTACTTTCTGAAAGGCATTAGAAGATTGTCCAGCATTAGAGATTAGATATTACATAGCAATTCATCACTCTTTTTTTTTTTATTTCTGATGACATTTTCCTACCTCTTAATACTTTGCTTAACTTCTAAAAGGCATGAGGAAATTGTCCAGGAAGCGTTCACTGCAATATAGGACATTAGATATTATGTAGTAATTCAATACTCTTCCCCATATTTCTAAATACATTTTCTTATCTCTCAATACTTTGCTTTATTTCTGAAAGGCATGAGAAGATCATCCAGCACTCACTGCCATATAGATTATTTGACATGATACAGTAGTTCACCACATGTATACATTTCTAAAGTGTTTATGAATATGATCTTCATGTTTATACTCATCCATTTAACATAGTATTTTTATATTTTCTGCTTGGGAAAATTCTAAATCTTACATTTTTACTAGTTACCTATTTACTGGCAATATGACTCTCTTTATTAAATACAAATAATCATTTAGCCAATGTAGTTTATACAACAGAAAAGACAAGCATTTTGCAAGCTGATATATTAATAAAATTACAAGACATAAATGATCTTTTTTTCACCCTACACCTCAAAGAATTGCATATTGTCCTCCTTTTTTATTCCTGCTCTTTTCTATCTTCCTCCCTTACTTGGATCGCATTTGCCCAGCTCTACTTTCAATGGTTGGAATGTCAAAAATGTGAAATGTTAGAGAAATATTTGGTGGGAGCTTCCCAGTCCTCACTTTTTGGACGCTATTCAGGCTGGAATGTTGAAAATAGCCCAGCTCTACTGCCAATGGTTGGAATGTCGAAAATGCGAAATTTTTGAGAAATATTTGGGTTACAATATGTTTAGGTGGGAGCTGCACAGTCCTCACTTTTTGGACTTTATTCAGGCTGGAATGTTAAAAATAGCCCAGCTCTACTGCCATGGTTGGAATGTCGAAAATGCGAAATTTTTGAGAAATATTTGGGTTACAACATGTTTAGGTGGGAGCTGCACAGTCCTCACTTTCCAGCCTTGATAGTCCAAAAGCATCTCTGAGTCCCTGTGGGTGGCAAATTATTTTCAACCCTTCAACTTCTCTCTCATAGTTGGGACATGGCAAGCCTCTCACTGCTCTATTGTTACTTTCATGGAAAATGCTCAGCTGAACTCCATTCTTTGGTTCCACCAGGTCTAACCTTCATGACTAGTAACTCATTGTAGCAAACCACCCACATTCCCTCCATATTCCATTGGCGAGAAGTAAGTTCCACTCGAGCAGCCTCTGCCCACGAACCGCTGCTCTGTGGAACCGACTCCCAAGAGGATGTTTCCCTGATCACTACAATCTTAACCTGTTATAGTCTAAGGTTAACTGTTATCTTCCTCTTCTATATGCAGAAACTATCTCGTAATGAAACCCTATACCTCAAGTGGCCCCCAGGCCTTGTACAGGGTGAACCTTACTGTATTAATGGCTATACATTGTTTACATTCTCAGCTATCTTAGCTGACTGTTTCTCGCTATTCATAAACAGGAACCAATAATAACAAGTATTAAAACCTTGTGCCAAGGGGATGTGTCTGCCAGGCAATATCTCCCCACATCACTAAAAGGGATAAGTTTTAGTGAGAAGTTTAACATCTCCAGCAAAACTGATAGAATTTGGCAGTTTCAACTAACCCTGGAAGCTACAGGTGGTGAAAATTTGGCCTTTTGAAATATTCAACAAGGAAATGAGGGACACATATAAAGTATAAATCCAATTTTTTTATAATCCAAAATTAGTTGAGATAAATTACCAAATTTGCCCAAGTTTAGGAGAGAAGAGATATATTCATACTTTTACCAAGGGCATTTATGCAAAGGTGAATTCAGTCGCCTTGGCCACAATTTGAACTTGACTCATTTTCTGCACCAATAAATGCTACACTACAAACACATACTGAAAAAAAAAAAAAAAAGAAAAAAGAAGGATGTAAAAAATTGAAAATTTACCTAAGGATAAGTATTTATATAAAGATTAACTTTTAATAATTTCTTTCCACTTTCTTTTTTTTTTTTTAATAAAATGCATCACTTGCCAATTTTATATTCAATATTCCATTTTTAAGCTCAACACTGAATTCGCTTATAAGCAACAGTGATACGTGTTAAATGTATAAAGATTTTCCTACTTGTTACCTATTGAGACATTATGTCAGATTTAATCCATATTTTCAACTCAAATAAGTTAATATAAAGAAGATATTCTTACCAAGAGTGTAAAAATCCATTACACAGATTGGCTGAATGCCAATATTTGACCCCTTCCCAAAATGTCATTGGTTGCTTTCTGCCTCAATTCTTAGCTTCCCATAATGCAGCAGCAAACTATGTTCTATTAAAAATAATCTCATAATAAAATCAATTCATTGAAAATTCTTGTTTGAAGATCAAAGGTGAGTTTTACTTGAGTGTCTGCCTCAGCTCTTCCAGTTTTACCAAATATATACAAATAAAGCCTAATGTAGGTACAGATATTTAACCAAACATTATAAAATAAAATAAAGATAGCTAGGGAGAAATTAGAATGTTTTATTTTATAAATAAAGAGAACATACTAACAAATATAGAAATATTTTACATACCTTCTCTCCAACCCTGAAAAGCAAAGCTGGTGAATGTTACAAAAGTCTGTCTTTATTCATAAATTCAGATTGTTGTACTTCAGGAATCTCTGTCTTAACCACTTGTTAGTAAAAACACCTTCTTATGACATTGACCCTAGAACTGTCCTTTATACAAACTGGTCTCCATTGATTGGCTGTTAAGGGTCAAATGAGCAACCAAGAGTGGTGAATACTAATTATGGAAGAGGAAGAAGAGCTGTCTTCCAAAAGCTAGACAAAGTATTAAGAAACAGGAAAATCTTGTTAGAAACAAAGAAAAGAATACTCATCACTGATGAAGAAGAGACTTGAGGAAACAGAATGTGGTTCTACAGATAAAGAATAGACATGAAGTAACAGAAATGTGAATACCATGGACTGAACATGTGAGCAAATATGAAGTTTTAGAGAAAATGGAAACAAAAAGGACATTTATACTTAGAATCAGAAAGAGGCAGTTGAAATTTCTGGGGTACAGAATGAGGAAAGAGGGCTTTGAAAATATGTTCACAGGACATATGAAAGGTCAGATGGACAAGATGGAAAGCAGTGCATAACCTAACAAACTTGTGCAAATGATCAGCAGAACAGGATTTAGGAGAGATAGTGAAAAGACAAAATTTACTAAGAGCTACAAAAGGACAGGAAATTGTTTAGAGCCCTGATCACCCATGTCCTGAAGGGATACAGCACATTGAAAAATAACTTATACAGCATTTCACAGTCTGTCCTCTTCTTTCTTTTTCAGAAATATGATTGGCCAATGGAAGGTTATATTATACCAAATGTTCCTCCTTTATCAAAGAGTGGTAGCAAAAATCTTTTATCTGGTAGTAAGTAAAAAAATGGCCTTTTCTCTTTATAGATTTGTTTCTTTGATCATTATTTTATATGTGGATACTTTGTTGTGACAAAATCATACACTAACCTCTTGTATAATATTTAGTAAGAAATATGGTATTATTTTATAATGTTTCTGTCTTTGCATGTGTGTGTGTGTCTGTGTTTATTATAATTTTTTTTACTGATGGTCAGCCTATACAAAGCCAACAGCCACTCAAGGTAGAGGGTTACTGGAAGAGTTTGTAGTTTGAGTGGTAAAACTAAGAGGTAAGAGGCACAGTTTACAAGGATGTTTTTTTTAATGATTTCAACTTAATCAAGGCAATAAAGTCACCACTAATATGCAAGAGGTTACTGAGTGTGAAAGAATATGAGAAAAAGAAAAACATTATTTCAGAGAGAGAACAATAAATGAGTGGGAATTAAGAAGACAAAAGATAAAAATTGACACTGCATTTAAATTTTGAAGATCAAATTTTATAGGAAAGCAAGAGGCCAGAAGAGAGCTCTACAAGTGAGAAGTACGAAAGAAAAAATGTTAGCATAGAACTTATTGTTACATCCAGCCATTTCAACTGCAAAATAATAAGACCTTACTGCCAATCTAGTACTATGCATAAATTCGTTAATTTTAGGTTATCAAAGAGGAAAGCTCATGAGAACATTAACCATAAAAATATTTATAAAGAATGCACAGGGAAACTAGATTATGGTTGTGGGAATGTGACTGAAGCTGAGATACCAGGTCAAGACCAATAACATTCTAGATTCTTCTTTGGATTTTAGCAGATTTATATAGCAGAAACAGCAGACCATATGTAGCAGCAATATTCAAAGCATGGATAAATAAATGCATAATGTTATAGATGTGCAAGATAGATTCTTGAAAGAAAAATTGTCTAGCACGTAACAGTGAATCAACTTTCATAGCTGCAAACCTAACAATTGATTTAATATAATCTTTCCACTTAATGGCAGCAGAAAACATTAACCTGAGAAGGCACAATTAGTCACTCTCCTGTAGGATATGTGTGAAAGATAACAGTTAACTTTAGATACTTGTTAAGATTGTAGTTTTTCGAAAAGCATCCTCTTTGGAGTTGATTCCACAAAGAAGCAGTTTGTGAAATGAAGTAGAACTTACTTCTCACTAAAGCAATACAAAGAGAATGAGTGTGGTTCACCCCAGCGTGGCAGATCTTAGCTGGGAGGATTAGAATTAGTGGAACTAAGGAATGCAACATGTCTGAAAATTTTCCATGGAAATAGTGATAGATTAGTAAGAGGCTTGCAATGTTTCATCTGTTGGAGAAATTGTTGTAGGGTCAAAAATAATTCATCACCCACAAAGTCGTTTAGATACCTTTGAACTCTATCAGGACTAAAAAGTGAAGACTGGGTAACTCCAGCACAGATCTGGTCTCAGTACTCCATTTTTTTTGCCTGTCTCTTGTAAAAGTAGGGCATGCACAGTCAACCATAACATTCCAACATAAAAGAAAAAATTCCATAATGGATAACTTTTCACATTCTAACAAATTCTAAAACATAACTGTCAGTTGTAGCAATTAAATGTAAAATAAACAATTCAGTAATGGTGAAATATGTGTGAAAAATAACAGTTAACTCTAGATACTTGCTAAGATTGTAGTTTTTGGAAAAGCATCCTCTTTGTTTGTGAAAGGAAGTAGAACTTACTTCTCACTAAAGCAATACAAAGAGAATGAGTGTGGTTCACCCCAGTGTGGCAGATCTATACATAGTTTTTGCCTTACCAGTTGCACCCCTGATGATGATCTCAGAAAGAGATGGAAAGTACTTGGAAAATAAAAGTTATTCTCATTGTTACAGTGCATCTCTTGCTTCATTCACTTCTAATACACAGAAAAATATTCATGAATATGAAAGGATCATGATAAAAATAAGCAGACATAATGTTTGTAATTTAGTCAATCAGACATGCCTAAAAGAGAATTTGCTTTCTAAATACACACACACACACACATATATATATATATATAGATATATATGCTTATAATATATAATATATAATTATATAGATATATATAATTATATACTTTAAAAGTTTAAAATTACACAATCACTTCTACTTCATGCATATGTGTGATCACAACCATGTAAACATCACTTTAATTTGATGAAGTTCAAATGTGTCACACAAAAACAAAAATTGTTTTCCATTGTCATGCACACACACACACACACACACACACACACATATCATGGTTTTGAGGGGCTTTCCTGTTCCTTCTTCTGAGGCCTTAATAACAGTGGCTTATGTCATGTATTTTTGGTGATATGACTAGCTGGTGGCTATGACTCTTCATACAGATTTTGCAATTTTCTGGTTGGTGCAGCCTGACTGGTAAGAACCCAAACTTTTGGGTAATGACTAAAGAGACTGCTGTGATCAACAGTCCCATAATATCAATGTTCTTGCAGTGCCATATCATGCATGGAATGGTGTCCTTGCAAACTCTTTTGGTGGGCAACCCTGAGGCTACACTATGCTGCAGCCTACGCCAATCCCCTGACAGCTCATATTGCCTTAGACGACTGGCAGTTACTATTATTCTTAGCCTTTTCTACCTTTATAACATACCATGATCAAAAGCAATAAATCAATTAATACTAAATCAGTTCACCAAAAATTTTCTTAATCCCTTTCACCTTCAGTAGCCTCTTGCATCTTAGTGGCATTATTGCCATCTTCTGTCTTCCTGAAACCTGTTCTTTTATTCTCATTTCTCCTCAATAAAGTCTTCTCATTTTCTTTCCCATCCAGTAGCTCCTTGCATCTTAGTGGTATTATTGCCTTGTTTGGATTGAATTTATTAAAAGAAAAAATAATTCACTAGGAGTTGATAAACTGTAAATAAATGAATCAAGTCTGACTAATTTACCATTCTTTGAATATGATTTTACTGTCGCAGACATTTTGGCATTGGGTAAAAGTCACTGTTTGGTACTGAGAGTATTTCAAGCATGGCACAAACTTGTTTATCAGAAGTTGGCAAATTCATTCACCAACAAATAAACAGGATTTTAATGACAAAAGGCAATATCTATTTTCAAATATATTTTGATATTAAAAATTTAATAATTTGAATCCATTTATTTTAATATTGTAATATTTTACCAATATTTTAACTCTGATTAATATTTCTATTCCTTGTTAACGCTGAAAGTAATCAGGATTTAAATGAGATATTTTTTTTAAAACTATTATTTCCCTAAAAGTGTTTAGATGAACAACATTCTTTAGTTCCACTAGTTCTAACCTTCATGACTAGGATCCAACATGGCATGCACATTGCAGGGAAACACTCTCATTCCCTTTGTATTCCATTAGTAAGATGTAAATATTTATTGTTGTAAAATACAATAATTGTGGCACATGGCCAAAAAAGTGGGGAGAGGGAAGAGAGAGAGGCTGGTCATCATTAATTATCCTATACCTAGCTAATCTGATTCAGGATCCATTCATTCATTACAAATAACAAAACCATTTGTGAGATGTAAGTTCCACTCAAGTAGATTCTTCCCATGGACCACTTATTTGTGCAACCGACTCCCAAGAGGATGCTTCCCCAATTGCTATAATTTTAACCTGTTCAAGTCTAGGGTCAACCTTTTATCTTCCCAACAACCCCCCATAAACTGTGCTTCTTACTCTCTAACCCTCTATATTGTGTGACTCTTGGGTGTTGTACTAGGTGAACAATACTGAAAAAAAGCAACTATATTTTAAACGACATTAGTTCTAGGAGTTCTAACCTTCATGACTAAAACCTGCCATGTCATACGCATTGTAATGAACCAACCTCATTTCATTTGTATTCCATTGCTGAGAGGTAAATTCCATTTGAGTTGCTTCTTCCCACAAACTGCTGCTTTGTAGAACCAACTCCCAAGAGGATACTTCATTACAATCTTAACCTGTTGAGTGTTAACCATTATCTTCCCAACGTATTCCCATAAAATGTGCTTATTATTCTGTAACCATTTATCTCGAGTGACTCTTGGGCCTTGTACAGTGTGAATATCACTGTACAAAAAGAAAAGAAAGAAAACTATATTTTAATAAAAATAACTAGCCTGGAAAACTGAAATTTTTGGTCATGAAATGAAAATTGTATTTTTACCAAAATATCTGTCACAAAAATGTAAGACAACCATTTCTTTTGCTTTAAAAAAGCTGGTGCCAAAATGTCTAGCACCTGAAGAAGAACACCAAAATATCTGATTCCATATTGTTTCCTTATTCTCTTAATGCATTTGGCATAGTTGCATGCATATATGTGAGATGAACGTCTGTGAAATACGTTTGTGTGTTTGCGTGGTTAATTTATTACTCCCTGCATTTTCCAATTTCAGTCACACCTCTTCGATTATTGGTCCTAAGAAATGGAGAAAGAGATACGTCAAAGGCTGTTCCAGTCATTGGACCTAATGTCACTAATGTAAGTCTTGTAAAATGTTACCTCTCACGTTCTGTACTTTAAGCAACTATTTTTACAGCATCTCCTCAAATTTTTCCATCAGTGTTGCCACCACGCCATTCTAAAAGTGTGTGGGAGTGATTTCATCATGGGTACTGATGTTCTACAGCCAGAATGCCATGTTATAAAGAGATTCAATTATATTGGGCTGGGCACATGGTGAAGAAGGGACACTCATATGTCAAAAAGAGTTGAGAGCTCACTGTTTATCAATTTATATAAATACAGGGTGTGATGGATAAATTGTCGTCTAAATTATGCAAAAATGAAAATAACACTGATATTTCCTTTTAACAGATATATTTACCAAAATTATACAAAAAATATCTTGAAATAATCACCATTGGCTTCAACCATGGCCTCCAGACAACTTCGGAACCTCCTGCAACTCTTCTGATCAGTCTCCTTGTTTAAGTTGGTGAATGGTGCCATAATCATTGCCTTCAGTTCATTTTTGGTATTACAAGGAATTTTGTTGGTCTTTTGCTCAACTGTTCCCCACACATAATAATCAAGGGTGGTGCATTCTATGGAGTTAGGTGACCAGATGAAAGGGGTGATGTGGTTGCAGAAATTGTCTGACAGCCATAACTAGGTTATCCTGCTTGTGTGGCATGGTGCAGAGTCCTGTTGCCAAACCTAGGGTCTTCCAGCTGCCACCCTCTTAACACAGGGCAGAACTATCCCCTCAAGGCACTTGATGTAGGCCTCTGTGTAGATTCTGAGGCCTTCACAAACAAATTTGGGAGTTTTTTCTTATCGGAACAATCAGAGTGAGTTTTCCAAACTGCTGTACCTTCGTAATAACCAATAGACTTATCCAACTTTTTCTGAATCCTCTGCACTGTCCTCAGATTGACATTCAAACACTCTGAAATGTGTGTATTGGAGCTTCCGGCATGAATGCCAAGCAGTAAAGCATCCCGTTTCCTACTATACTGTTTAGTGAACAAAATCAAAAACAGACAATACACATGCATAAAATTAAAAAAATAAATTGGCAACAATTTACTTATTGTACCCTATATATATTTGTTCGTGTGTGTTTTTATGTATATATATATATATATATATATATATATATATAGAGAGAGAGAGAGAGAGAGAGAGAAAAAGTATGGACGGAAGAATCAAAAAGTATGTCAGTTTCATGCCTCAGGATGATGGTTTATATATTGCTTTATGAAACTGATTGTCACGATGTAGTGTTGATTTCTATATCCACACTTTTTAAACTAACAAATGTTCTGGCCTTGATACTGAACTTACTTCCTCCATAAATACAGCAGATTTTAAACAAAATAATTTTCTCGCTGTATGTGTGTATGTGTGTGTGTGTGTGTAAGACAATATATGAGTGTGTGTGTGTGTGTAAGACAATATATGAGTGAGTCAGCCGTTCATTTTTGAACAGACTGATCGGTTCAACTCTCTGTCTCCGGACAGAGAGGAACCCGAAGGAGGCTACGCCGAAGGGCGGAGTCTCCTTCGGGGAGGTAAAACCGACCCTGAACCCGTTGATGCGGTTCAAAGCGGGCATATTTTGGGCCGAGCCCACGGGCTCGAATCCCAAATAAAAAACCGACCTTGTGTCACATGTTGCCCCAGTGGGGGGGAGACTCAATATTGTAAGACAATATATTTCTCATTCAGGCATATATATATATATATGTGTGTGAGTGTGTGTATCTAGATTGTAATATATTTACAGAGATTTTATATTTGATATAGATTGTTTATTGTTGTTTTCGCCTTTGACCTTAGAATGAAAAAGGCTTTAAAGAAAAAGAAATTAAAATTTAAACATAAAATTAAGCATCTTCTCATTTTCAGAATTTCTCTTGATGTATAATTGTAACTAAATATTTGCTTGTATTTTGTTCCCTCTCCTTACATATAGTTTTTTGAGGACATTTACATGAATTTTGTAAGATACATGTCCTGAAAGAAGATGTTTAGTTGATTGACTTCCCATCAACTAGGCAAACAAATCCAGATCTGGAGGACTAGGAGGCCATATGTTTTGGGAGATGTAACTATGGAGGTTATAACTAATCCATTCTTGGGTTGTCTTTAACTTATGAGATGGTACAGTCTTGTTGGTAGACGTAAGGTCTTCTTTTAGGTGCATTCTCTATCCAAGGCCACACAACCCTCTCGAATGCCTCCTTCAGAAGCATTGACCCTTAAACACTCAGATCTGGAGAGCATGTAGGCCATATCTTTGGTTTGATGTGATTGTGGAGATTGTAATTCATCCATTATTGGATTGTCTTGGCCTTATGAGAAAGCATTTTTTTCACAATGATAATTGTGGCATGGAATTCTCAAAAAGGTTCAAATATTTGACAAAATACAGGGTTGATTCGTTCTTTGATGATATTTGTATGAACTTATTAAAAGATGCATAAGTCATGAAAGAAGAGCTTTATTCGAGAAAAAATTGGCATGAATAATCATGAGACACATCTTGAAGCACTTCCTTAACGAATTGCAGTTAGCATCGGAGACTGCTTCAGTACAAGGTCTGTAACATTTCATGCTGAACCAGAGAATCATTATCTGTTTTGGACATTTTCATTTACTGAGTTAGCTTGATCTTTGTCATCATTTATCTACAAAGAAATGATAAGAGCTAGAGCTATTAAGGCATGTCCTTAAAAACTGTATGATCCCATCAATAAAGACCTTAGTCTGAAGATGTCCTTTTAAAGGACAAAATGTGGTATATTTCCGTTTCGTCATCTGATAACCCATCTTATAGATTGTAATATATTTACAGATGTTTTATAACATTGCTTATAGGCTGTTTGTTTATTGTCATTTTCATCTTTGACCTTCAGATGAAAAAGGCTATAAAAGAAAGAAAGAAAAGAGAAAAACAGTACAGATATAACAAACATGGGTTGTCAGCAAACAATGCTGCAGGAGATTGTCCTGATCATCAGGCCAATGTTCATTGCAGTAATATCACAGTCAGAGAGCTGGAGTTTCGATTGGTAAGTGACTCTTTTTTTCCTCTTTATTTTTATATAGATGTAGCACATATGGAAAGCAAATACACAAAAATAGAAGGAAGCATAAGGCAAGGATGTGTCTTCTCACCAGACCTATTCAACTTTTATGATGAAGCAATGCTGAGAGAATTAGATGTCCTACCAGGATTCATTATTGGTGGCCACAATCTTAAGAACAATAGGTATGCAGATGACACAGTTTTGATAACAGACACAGAAAAATAAACTACAGGAACCACAGAAGGTAATAAAAGAAAGCAAGGAGAAAGGACTAATTCAATTATAAGAAAATAGAGTGTATGGTTGTTAGTGGAAGGAAAAACCCAAAATGCAAACTAAGAACTAGAATCATCAAAATCAAGTACAAAAATCTAAATATCTAAGAAGTATTTTAACATAGGAAAGATGCTTTCCAAAAGCTAAGCAAAAAACTAAGAAACAGGAAAAATTCATTAGAAACAAATAAAAGAGTACTGAACTGTTATGTAATATCCATCATGTCAGTGAATGCTGGGTAAACTCTTTACATATGAAGAAGAGATTGAGGCAATAGAAATGTGGTTCTGCAGAAGGATGCTGAGAATATCATGGACTGAATATATGAGTAATGACAATGTAACCTACATAATGAGCTTACATAAATGGTTGGCAGAACAAGGATTGGAAGAGATAGGAAAAAAGGCAAACTTTACCGACAGCTACAAATGACATGGGCATGTAGAGAGCTATGATTGCTCATGTCCTGAAGAGACATGGCATGTAGAAGAAGAATATCTGATTTATTCCAGAAAACCCCAGTTGTCTGAATTGAATTTAATATCCATTAAGAAGCTTTGATCAAAGAAGTGTTGATCTGTGGTGACCCCAATATGTATTGGGTTCGTACTAAAAGATAACAAAGTGTCAACTCAGAATGTCAAAAGATCTAGGAGCCCTGAGAAGGTAACCCCAAAGCCACCAAGTGTAAAACCGAACCTCAAAGAATGTTGGTAGGGGGCACCATGACAAACAAGGAATTGAATTCAAATGATCTTAGGATTTATACACATAAGGCAACCGAATAGCTGGAAGTTATATAAGACGCCAACATAGGGAGATAGAAGGAGAATCCCTCATACTTTCACAACAAGAAGATTGAACGTTTAAAAAAGAAGTCCTGAAAGCACATACCCTTTAACAAGCTGATTTTAATTTGATGGAATCCAGAATTGAATAAACATATTTTTATTTACACTATTTAGATCATTTGAACTGTTGTCCTCATCCTTATTGTCATATTCACACCATTTTGGCGGTTGTATGCTCCAATCTTCTTCAGCTGACAAATGTTGGAATTTTGAACCAAACCCTTTATTTAGTCCATGAGGGTAGATTGTTCTAATTCCACATGTCATGCGTTTTTTGGGATATCTCAGATATTCCTGATGGTGATTTTGATTTTCTGTATAGAACGAGAGCAGACATATATCGACAGGATGAAGACTTAGCAATGGGCTTGCTATTATCACAATATAATACATTATGTTATATATATATATAATATATGATACTATATAGGAAAACAGCAATAACAGCAATAAGGGTTCTTCGTGGCCTCTCGTTTAAGTTGTGACATGAGACGACGTGAAATAACCCTCGGCTTGCCTTTATCTGCCCTTTTGCGTACTTGTGTAGGGTCAGCGGTGAACTTTTTCACTGTTTGATGACACCTCCCTATCATTTTAGAAATTTTTAGGGTAGATTTACCTTTTGAGACTTCTAAGGTGATAGTTTTCTTTTCAGCATCACTTAAACTGCTTTTACGGCCCGTCTTTTCACTAAATTCTTACACTTTTCTAATAATTTGGCACGCTAAAATCACCGCGCTGATAACAAATATGGCGCCAGTTTTTTTACATTGCGTAGATCAGTAAAAATTTCAGTGATTGTGCAGGTCAGTGTTGCTAACATTGTGTGAAAATTTTGTGTGAATTGATTGGACGGTTTTTGAAATATTAGAAAAAAAGTTATCTTGATAATAATTTGGCACGTAGTGTAGACAATTTCTTTTTATGTATAGGAAATTCAGTCTAGTATCAGATGTTACTAACATTATATGGAAACCTTGTTGAACTGATTCTGAATTTGTGTTTGGAGAAAACACTTTATTCCCTAATGTTTCTTTTATAAACTAACCAGTGCTTAGTGCTATTTATTAGGTTGGTGCAAAAATAATGACGTAATAATGTCGTTTTTTTGACGTATTTTTAACGTCAAAAAACGACATTCTTACGTCATTATTTTTGCACCAACCTATAGAAAGTTGGATCACTTTGTCATGAATCTTGGACATTTATAAATCTACCATTCGTCCATGTACTGCTGCCATATCTAGTGTGGTGATCCTACTGTATATCTCAAAATTCAAGAGAAAATCCATGTCTTCCTACAAATATCTTCATGAGAGTTGTTCCGATGAGCTTTTCTTCTTTGTACCTCAACTACATGAATTTATTAGGTTGGTGCAAAAATAATGACGTAATAATGTCGTTTTTTGACCTTAAAAAATACGTCAAAAAACGACATTATTACGTCCTTATTTTTGCACCAACCTAATAGATTGCCAACTAGGCCTCACAGTTTTACTGTTGAACTAGCTAGATACAACTGTCATTTCAATTAATTGTTTTATTTTTTGCACTTCCAATTTCCTGCTTCTCTGTCACTTATAATCTTCAAAAATTTAAATGCAATGCAGAAGAGCAGCGGGTGCGACTGTCCTGGGAAATCCAGATCAAGAGGGCATCCAATCAAAGAGTGAAATAAAAATTTAGTTTTTAACATGTGAAATTGTCTCTGTTAACTTCATTGAACAAGTACCCTACAGTCTCACAAGCTGGTGTGTATGTCAATCCATGTTTTGATAAGCAAGATGGAGTAGTGATGCAGTGTCAGTTGTCATTTTCTATCTTTCTGAATCCAGTTCTGTTATTGTCCTTTTCCTCACTTCACCTCGCTAAAGTCTTCTCAATCTATTCCACTCCCTCTAACCTCCTGCACCCTACTGGCAATTATCGCCTTGCTTGGAACAAAATGATCAAAAAAGAAGGAAAAAAGACATATAATAGTGTAGAATACATCCTGTTCTGTGAGGAATTTTTATTATATTGCATGTTGTGGACGTCATTTAGCCTAGTCTGTAGAGCAGATTATCTAAACAAAACTAAAATGACAGCACCCATGAGAAAGTGCCAGACAAGCTATGTTTATTGTACCATCCTTTGTTAACTAGTATATTACTAGGTTTGGGGTTTAATAAGTGATGGTTCAGGTTTATTTGACTGAAAGTGCAAGTAAAAGAAATATAATTTAGGATTTATAATGGTGTGGAGCTTAGGAGTTAAAATGAACACTTGATTTACCTATGCAAAGAAGATTAATGAAGGATGATAATGGTGAGGAAACACACAGATAATTTTAATGAAACAAGATAAGGAATTTATTCATGAATTTACAAGCTTGAATTAGTGTCAGTACCTTGTTTCAGTAAAGTAAATCAGAATTCTTAAAGTATGTAGTTTTAATGTTGTCATGAAGAGGAAATGCTCATACAACAGATTAAATGATCTGACACAAAATAATACTCAAAAATGTTTAAAACAAATATAAGAGAGTTTGTTGCTTACAGAAGCGATATACAGTTTCATATGCTTAAAAGTAGATGAAAAGAGATATTTTGAAATACTTAGCCTTCTTGGATTGTTGAGAGAAAATGTGCTTGGTTCAAGGCTAATAATATAATTGGTGAGTAATTTTACACTGGTAAGAACTTCAATTCTGTACATGATGAACAGAAACAAAACATTTCACATGACTTTAGACACTCTTCTCTTATTTTAATTTTTATCCTCATTTTATATCAAAAAGAATTTCACATAGACACACTACTTCTTGGCTGGCTAATTTCTGTGAAGGCAAGATTTTCATTGGTCCAAAAACACTTTCATATATGCTTGCCATTTTTTTTGCTTCTTCTTTTCAGCTGACAGACTTAATTTCTGTGAAAGCAAAGTTTTCATTGGTCCCAAAACAATTTCATATATGTTTGCTAATTCCTTTCTGTTTTCTTTTCACCACACAATTTCTGTGAAGGCAAAGTTTTCATTGGTCTGAAGAAAATTTCACATAGGCTAGTTAATTCCTTTCCCTCAGTCCTCTGAAATTTAAAGGGAGTGAGTGAAGAGAGTTATTTCATACTCATTCTTTTCTCTTTATTATAAAATAAATTTATTATTTTTATTATATTCTTATAAATATATAAATTTATAAATATATAAACTTATATAAACTTTATAAAATATAAACTTATAAATATAGAAATTTATTATATTCTTTTCTCTTTATTATAAAAAATGAAAAAGAAGTCCTCTCAGATGTTACAGTGGCACAGTGGAGTAATGGATAGGAAGACACGGTGGAGTAATGGACAATGGCTCGGATTGAGGAATCGGAGAGCCGAGTTCAAATTCCAGTCAAATCTGTTACATTCACCTACTTGCTAATACCCTTGAGAAAGGTATGAATCCTCTTCTTCCCCCAGCTATGGGTAAGTAGCAGGACAGACCTGGTTCTATAGCCTTGGATGGCAACTGGTCTACCGCAGAAAGAAATGGCAACCTACTGTGGAAAAAAAAAACACTGCCTCATCTGTCATGTATGGAAAGATACATGATGATCTAAGCATGTATCACGTATGTCACATAACTGACTGATATTCACTTACATGCTAATGTCCTTGGGAAAGGTATGAATCCTATTCTTCTTCTCCCCCGCAGCTATGGGTAAGTAGCAGGGCAGACCGGGTTCTATAGCCTTGGATGGCAACTGGTCAACTGCAGAAAGAAAAAAATCTGCCTTGTCAGTCATGTATCAAAAGATCCATGATCACCTAAGTGTGTATCATGCATGGCACATAACTGACTGACTCAGATGCTAAATAAAAG